CTGGCAATCTCATATCTTGCAGGGCAACAATGTCCATCTGCAGTCTATTCAGTTCCATGTCAATGACAGCTGTCTTGCGCATGTCACCTATTTCCTGCAGGTTGTCAGAAAAGCCAGGGGTTATTATCTGAACATTCCAGGTGCCTAACTTTAGGGCAGAAGTTTTCTTATAATTATTGCATGATGCAAGGTTATTGATCTGCTTGTTGGCTTTCACCCTAAATCCCACGGACCACGTGAGGTTAATAGACCATGGCGAGCCAGCACCTTACTGGCTGGGGGCTGCCCAGCTTAAAGCGGGCGGTAGCTACCTAGTGAGGTGCAATAACCTCTCCCACCATTGGAAGTAGCCCCTGGCGTCACTCTCTCTGCCAATTGAGCAAAGACTTATAACTAGTAACTGCTACTTCATGTTTTATTTTGACGCTGTATGTGAAGCTAGAGTGTCCTCCCCAGAGCACAAAGCCTGAGTAAAATAATATGGAGGATACACTGTTACCCCCCTCTCCACGTCGCTGAAATAGTCCAATGGAAAAGCAAGAGCCAATACAACTGGTTCCAGCGATGGGGCAGGAGTTGCCAGAACGTAACAAACTGTGGGACTATGGCTCAGAAGAGGTTAACTTCTATTGGTGGATATAGCCACAAGGCAGTGGAGGTTTGAAATTGGAGTTTTCCTTCTCCTAGATGGTCTGCCTTCCAAGGCTAACAAGCCCCACCTACCCGGGTTCATAGATTATTGTGCTTTTCGGGCACAGAAAGGAGTATAAAAGGGAAGGAAAGGGGAGGGTGGAAAGAAGTTTAGAAGGGGTGGAAAAGGAAAGGGGGAGGAAAGGAGTTTGGAGTTTGCTGCTTTAAGAGGACTCTATTTGCCCCTGTTCAAGGTTGGAAAGCTGATAGTACCAGGGAAAGCACAAGAAAAAGACCAAGATGCCTAGAAAATACTCACTGAACATTAGCTCCACAAATAATGGGGTGTCACACATAGGCAAGAAGACTCAGTGATATATCCCTAATTAGTTACATTAAAAACAAATCACTGACTGATTTGGGGACGGAGTTAGCAGTCGCTAGTTTTAATGTTATCCTCAACTCCTGCAAACCCGTTAGCAGAAGCTTGTGAACATGGACAATAAACAGAGTATTTTGTGTGGGACTGAGAGAACTACAAATGAGTGCAACCAGAAACCTCATCCTTGACAAAGTCTAGCTTCTGGACAAGGAAGAAAAGGGTAACGCTGCCCTGTATGGGAACAATTGCGATTGGATGTAGCAGCAGCCTTTTGGGGAACCATCACTACAAATAAGCACACTTCTATGTAAAATGAATTCACCATGTACAAAGTGAGTGAGAGAGATGCATTTATTTTGCCTCAATAAAGCATGAAGTACAAAAGATAATTGGGAATAATGACTGTCTGACAAGTTCACATAACGTTCGATGAGTTATATTTATCCTGACAACTGCTACTAGTTTGCCTTTTAGAAGTCACAAGACACCTTGTGTTTTCTTTAGCGGACAATATGATACATACCAAAGGAGATAACACATAAATTAAAATGTCTCTCTTGATTCCTGTTTGGGAAAAATAAAATATAGGCAGAGCTGCATATACCAACATTTCTCTTCTTGGTCCAAATAACTTGAGTTCTCGACCAAGAAGAAAACCATGCCTACTTCTGACTAGGAAGCAGTTAGCAATTATTTCGGTTAGCAGGCTCGTTCAAAATATAAAATGATACTTACTTTGCGACTGCCAGAGCTTTGACAGTTATTTTGCCATCTGGTAATGTGATTGGTACATTGTACTTAAAAGTGTTATGATCTCTGCAATCAAGTCTCCTAGAAAGTTGTGGTTTACTTCCATCGATAGTGTAATATATAGTGACATCAGGGGTATCTAAAAGACACAGTAATAATGATTAAGTATAATTCACCCCATCTTCAAAACAAATTGATTTCCTTACACAAATCTCCTTAAAGTGAAGTTATATCACAAATGGAATGATGTTAGCTCTCATTAAACTACAGTTGCATACAGTTATGTCTGATACGCAGTGTGGTGTAATGGACAGAGTGACAGATTATGTATTTAAAATACATCTAGCTCACCTTTCTCCTGAAAAAAAATCAAGGTAGCTTACATCATTAGAAGAAAATATGTAAAATCTAAAACAAGTCAGTATACAAATATTTAAAAAAGAATGCAGATTGGATACTCTTAGCTTTATGCAGGTATTTACCTGCTACACAAATAGGTCAAAAGTGGGGAGGGAACATGGGGGAGCACCCACACATATACCATATCAAATGTCTCCATGCTTTCAGCTATCTTAGACATCTTGGCATGAAGATCAGAAAGGGACTTTGTAACCTTGTTTGGCCACGCATATCTGACAGACCTATCACAGCTGAGAATTAAAATTTGTTTCCTAAGGTTTCCTGCTCGTGGGAGTTTTGTATTTATTTATTTTATTTTATTTTATTTACTTAAAATATTTTTACCCCACTTTTCTCCCTGAAAAGGACCCAAGGCGGCTTACAACACTGAAAGACAATATTTAAAGTTTAAAAGCCTCTCTCCTGTGTCCCCCATCAGGTGCACCTGTGAAGGTGGCAGGGCTGAGAGAAAAGCCCCTCTTGAAGATCTCAACACTCAAACGTTCTCATAATGGGAGATGCAGTCCTTGTGAGAGCTGGGATCCAAGCTGTTTAGGACTATATAGGTTAAAACTAGAACTTCACATTGTGCCCAGAAACAGATCGGCAGCCAGTGGAGCTGCTATAACAGGGGACTGTATGATCTCTATAGCTCCAGTGAACAATCTGGCTGTTTTGTACCCGCTGCAGTTTCCAAATACTTTCCAAAGGCCGCCCCACATAGATGTGTTACAGTAATCCAGCCAGGATGCAACTATGGCATGTGTCACTCTGACGAGATCAGACCTCTCTAAGAATGTGTACAGTTGGCATGATAGTATTAACTGTGCGAATGCACTCCTGGCTACCGCCAAAACCTGGACATCCCAATGAATCCAAGAGCACTCTCAAGCTGCACACCTGTGTTTTCAGATGAAGTGTAACCCCATCTAGCACAGAATGCAACCCGATTCCTTGGTCTGTTTCGACTGACAAGGAGCACCTCTGTCTTGTCTGGATTATGTTTCAGTTTATTCATCCTCATCCAGTTCTGACTGACACCAGACACCTCAGATTTAGATGGAAAGGAGAAATAGAGTGGGCTGTCATCTGCATACTAGACACAGAACCCCAAAACTCTGGACAACCTCTCCCAATGGTTTAATGTAGTTGTTAAATAGCATAAGGGGCAAAACAGAGCCCTGAGGGACTTTGCAGGGCAGTGGCCAAGGTGTCAAATAGGAGTCATCCAGCACCAGCTTTTGCATTATCCCCTCCAGGAAGGACAGGAATGTGATCATGCCGCTTGTCATCTACCTCCCTTTTCCCTAATTTGTCCAAAGTAAGATTCGTCAGACCCAATTCTTCTAATAAAGCCAGTTTATTGCTTAACATGGCTTCTTTGATTTTTTGGTCT